CTTCAAAATATCTGCCCAAAGATAGCTCCCTTGACCTTGCACAAAGGATTGTGACATCACTAATAGTGCTGATTACAGTAATATTTGGTTGTTGAGATCCTGCCTGTAGAGCTGACACAGTAAATAAATCTAAGTCAGCTTTCACATAACCAAAGCGTTCTTCAGGTAAGCCATCTTTGTTGGTGACACGGCAAACACCATCATGACCGGGTGCGTCTGCTCTCTGAGCCATTACCAGTTTGCAGCAGAGCAACTGTAACCACTGTATTTGCTGCAGAGTAATTCTTTTTCTGTTCTCTGTCATCCTGCTCATGACCCAAAAATCAGCCTCATCAGTGCATCGTGTTGAAGGATGTCAGAGTTATTCAAATATATTTGGAGGAAAGAGGAGAGTTACTGAAGGATGCTCAGGAGTAAAAATAGTTCACTGATTTTTTTAACCTACACAGAAGCAGATGAAAACTACAGATGAAACAAAGGAAGACAAAAAAAGCCTCATGTAAGGAGCTCGCTCTGAGCTGATCTGACAACCATGTGTGTTGCAGTGTTAGCCTAAATCTGCTTTCTGTTGTATTTATTATGAGCTGTGTCTGTGGATGCTATCAGCAAGCTGTCTGCAAACAAAGTGGAAATATTTGCTCAGGTTTCACTGCTTTTCTTGCCAGATCAGGAAGAACACTGTGGCTGTTTGGACCAACTGTTCCTGTGTGTGTGTGTGTGTGTGTGTGTGTGTGTGTGTGAGAGAGTGTGTGTGTGTGTGTGTGTGTGTGTATGGGTCAGAGGCTAACAGCACTCATTCATTTACTTTCCCTGTTCGTCCTCATTTCAGGGTTGGGACCTGTAGTATCCCAGCGTGTTGCAGGCAGTTTGAACATATAAGGGAAACGATTCAATTCAGTGTCATTTATATAGTCCCAAATCACAACTCTGTTTCACCAGGTGTGGTCACTAGGTTCTGTAAGCATGCTGTTGTTGAGCCAATATTAAAAAGAGCGGTTTGGATCCAACACAGCTTAAGAATTATAGGCTTATCTCTAAGCTTCCATTATTGTCGAAAATTCTGGAAAAAGTAGTTGCAGATCAACTTACCACTTTTTTTTAGAAAAACATGAAATTTATGACAAATTTCAGTCGGTTTTCCATAAAAGTCACTCAACAGAAACCGCAAAATTAAAGTCTCTAGTGACATTATGATGTCAGCTGACTCCGGAGCATCCTCAGTCATGGTTTAGTTGGACTTAACATCTGCCTTTGACAACGTTGACCATACTATCCTGATTAACAGGCTCCGGGACATCGTCGCTGTATCCGGTCTGGCTCTGGAGTGGTTTCAGTCACACCTCTCCAACAGATCTTTTAGTGTTTTTGCAAATCAGTTTATGTCACATTCTAAGGATCTGACATGTGGGGTACCACAGGGTTCAGTTCTGGGTCCTATTCTTTTTCTCCTGTACATGTTACCTCTAGAACTTATAATCAGGCAGTTCCCTGAGGTGTCTTATCACTTCTATGCTGATGATATTCAACTCTACTGCTCTTTTAAGCCGATGGAAGTCCATGAACTGTCCTCTTTAATTAAATGTTTAGCTTCCCTTGAGCAGTGGCTTGGTGACAACTACTTACAGTTGAACTCTGAGAAGTCAGAAACATTAATTATTGCCCCGACAACCAGATATCTCTAATCAAACAGCATCTTGGTTCTCTTGGCTCATCTGTTCACCCGAGCCTCAGGTACCTTTTTTTTTTAATTCTGCCATGTCCCCAAAACAACACTCTCGACAGTTCATTAGGAACTGCCTTTTTCAGCTAAGAAACATCTCCAAACTGCAAACTTTGTCTAAATCTGAGTTAGAAATGGTTATTCATGCTTTTATTTCATCTCGCTCAGATTATTGTAACAGTCTTTTTCTTTGTTTGAGCAAAAGGAATCTTGACCGTCTCCAGTTAGTCCAGAATGCTGCTGCAAGGCTTTTAACTAAGACACGAAAAACGGAGCACATTACACCAATGTTACGCTCATTACAATGGATTCCAGTACATTTCAGAATTCATTTTAAAATCTTGGTACTGATTTTTAAAGCTTTGAATTGTGATGCCTCTGCCCACATTTCTCATCTTTTAGAACCCCACACTCCCTCTCGCAGCCTGAGATCATCTAATCAAAGGCTGTTGGTAGTCGCACGAACTCGTTTTAACACCAGAGGTGATAGATCTTTTAGAGCGGTGGCCCCCAGGTTGAGGAATGCTCTAACTCCATCATTGCGTTGCTTTAATTGTATTTATTCTTTTAAAAAGCAGCTTAAGACTCATTTATTTAGACTAGCTTTTAATTAGATTTCTGCTGTAAGTTTGATTGTGCTGTTTTTTTTAATGTATATCTGTTTTTATATTACTGTGAAGCACTTTGTGGTTTTTATCCTGTGAAGAGTGCTATATAAATACATTGAACTGAAGAGAACAACAGTTGCCTTGAGGCACTTAATGGAAGGTAAAGACCGGTGACGGTGGGAAAGAAAAACTCCCTTTTAACAGGAAGAAACCTGACAGAACCAGGCTCAGGTAAGGGTGACCATCCGCTTGGGATAAGGGGAGAAGAGTAGAGATTGTGGAGATACAGAAATTCTTTTATTGCTGCCATATAATCTGCATCATTATAATTGCATTAATAACATTCTTTACAGCATTATTTCATTTAATAATATTTCTTACAGTATTGATATTGCATTTGAGGACCCTTCCATTATGTTAACTTTTATTACAGGTACAGTTAGAAGTATTTTATACATACTGCATATCTGTGCTTATTTTGAGTTGATGTTCGGTTCATTAAGGGTCTTAAGCTTCACTGGTGTGACTGTCCAGGTGATCCATGCTGAGGGAAACTAGAACATAGAAGGATAACTGCAATGCATGCTTACAACACATATAATCTAGGAATAGGCCTGAGCAGAGGCCCAAATGTTCCCAGCTTCTTGTTGCAAACCTGTTGCATTTTACTTTCTGGCAACAGATGACCAGAGTCAATACTTAGCCCCAGAGACCCTGAGGGCTTGAAGTTTATTACCTTGTATGGAAGGTGTTATAGAAAAGAGAAGTTCTATGTCTGCTTATAGCCATTAAAAATGTGCGATTACCTGTGACTAATGTCCGGAACCTATTTTAATCTGTCATTGGGGGGGGCGTGTACCCCACTGCTTTATAAGTGTCCACAACATGTATTTTGGTCAGAAGACATATGTTGATGTTTTCTCCGGGCTGTTAATAAACTCAACGTTTGATTGCACTTTTCTGGGGCCTCCGTGGTTTGCGACACTGCTCTACATTGATCGATTTCACGACAAGATGAATGATAACTAATGATGAAACGCAGGGTGGTGTATAAACACACAGTGGGTGAAAAAAAGGTAAGTGAAGAGAAAAAAAAGACAGTGCATCATGGGAAGCCCTCACCAGCCTTGGCACAACCAAGGGAGGATTCAGGGTCACCTGATCCAGCCCTAACTATATGCTTTATCAAAAGAAACAAAGTTCTAATCCAAATCTGTAAAAACGTAACCGTCTGTCTCCCGAATTCAAACATGAAGCTGTCAAGCCTCAGTCCTAGCATTCATGTGGATCTTGCTTTAACATGTACCTCCCACTTAAAAGCTGCAGCCGATCAAGCACACCTAATGATGGCAACAACACTCTCCATCAGCAGCACCCTCCCACAGCAGGAGCAAGGCCACAAAGACTGCTCAAGAATACAATAAAGAGCCCAAGGAATTAATCTGCCCTTCAAACTCGAGGCCGAAAGCATCTCTTGTCAATTTTGTGACATAAGATTCATGCAAACTTTGCTCTGTAACACTTCCTCAGTTGCTCATTGTCCATGCTGTGATTATTCAAAGGCAAAATATGTTTAAGAAGAACAAAGCTGACCTCAGTGAGTCTAACAGACAGTGTTTCCTACTTACTACCCAAAATGCCTCTTTCCTGTCTGAAGGATTTTCTAATTGCTCTCTCTGTGGTGTTTGTAGACTTCTTAAGCTTCTGGTTCTTATTATCTGGACTCTGGAGAGTTCTCAGCAATTTAATGCCATCATCAACTCGTCTAATCTGTAACACTACCCAGTTCAACAGAGGACCGAGTAGGAAGTCAAGGTTTTTCCCCTCTGTAGTGAGGTCAGCCTGTGAAGATGTAGCCCACAACCGTCAGTCACAGATGCATGTATGCATGTATGCAAGTCCTGGCACTGTACTGAAGAAAATTTTTTTTTCGAAGACTGATTGAAATAACAAAAGCTGGCAGGTTTTCATCCAGACATCTTCCTCTTTCTCACAAGCTGTGATGTGAAAGTGTAACAGAGAAAGAAGAGGAAATATCACATATTATAAGATAAATGTGACAAAATTTTGGAAAGAGAAATCTCAGCAGAGCCTCAGACTAGCATGCTACAGCTGGACATAGTGTTGTTGTCTCTATATATGACATATACAGTATATATATATGACTCCTATAACAGCAGAGGTCAAAAGAACACTGCTTCACTGTGACTGACAGTGAAGTAAGAGCTCCAAAACAAATAAGTCCTAATGGACAAATCGTTTTGTAACCAGATGAACTTAATTATAATAAAAGTGAACATTAGATTGGAATGTTGCACAAAGAACACATTGTATCCACTGTATCAGAAAAAAAGGTGTCAGAACCTTTTTTGAACTTTCTGAAGCATCGTTTGTGGATCTGCTGGAAGGTAACTTGGATGAGTTGGTTGTTGTAAAGCTATTTCTTATTTTGGATTTTCTGTAGTTGTCATTTTTTAATCTAAGGTTCTTGACAGGGGAGAGAAAAACAGCCTGTACATGTGCATATAATACCTGCTTTAAACTTAAGCGATAAATTAATAACATTTGCATTTTGATCCTTTTTTGTCTTTTTATTTAGATCAGAATTTTTAAAGATCTATACTTTATTAAAAGTAAGCTTCAAAATCTCGTCATGAAGTCACTGAACTCACCACTGGCATTTTTGCCACATATGAGATGCTCGTAGACCTGCAGCAGCCCCCACAGCTCTGCGTCGTTGCTCACAGCTCCATCTAGCAGCTCGGTGGTCACCGGACCGCAGATGACCCCGTCGATCTGCCCTCCCTCCTCTTCCGCGGTCAGCCTCGCCGCCTGCAGCCCACGTCCTGCCACTTCCTCTGCCAAAGTTTCGACACAGGCTGTTAGGCACACTGCAGCGTACTCGTGCACACGAACCGACACCCGCGTCTCCACCATCCACCTAAAGAAACGGCCCACGGAGAGCGTGAGGCCGCAGCGCGAGGACTTGCCGCGCTGACGCGCGGTGTTGCCCGAGTTTATGCAGTACAGGGACACCGCCTTCACACCAGATGAGATGCACTTCTCTGCGAGACCCCAACTCAACACCAGCCTCACTGCGCTCTGCACTTCCAGCCGTGTGCACCGCCTGTGCAGCTCACTCAGCCGCTGAGCCTCCCGGGAGATGCGCACCAAAGCTCTCCGGAGCAGGACAGAGAGCCGGTGGACCGCTTCCCTCGTGTATGACGCACGCGTGCGGGCAACTTTACGCACAACTTCCAGCAGCTCCTGTTCGATCCAGGGATACTCCTCCAGCTCGGGCAGAAAGGGACATTTCGTTAGGATATCTATCACGTCCTCCGGCAGTGTGCTCACAGTGTCCCAGCTACCGTTTCTGCTGTACAGGGAGCCGGTGTGCTGCCAGCAAGGACCCCGGTGAGGTGTGTTCAAATTTGGCTGCGAGTGCCCCGACCTGCCCGAGGACAGGCTGAGTGACGGGCAGTTCTCCCCCGCCATATAACCTGAATCCAGGCACAGGCCCTCTAGGGTTTTAATCAACACATTGTTGGACATGATGTGGAGCTCTTTACGCACAATAAAGAACCCAGCTAGTGTTTACCATTCCAATTTTGAGCCCCAGTTTAAAGAAGAGAGGCTCCTACATCCAGTTGCCAGAAACACACAGCTGTAGGAGAGGCTGTACCAAACCTGACCGCAGTTTAAAGAGGGACGGAGTGTTTTACGCACAAGCGACCAATCAAACTCGAACTCACAGTACTGCCACAACATCCTTTTCACCCTGCTCGTCAGCACCTCCCTGCGGCAATAACTACGCGTGATTATCTGTGGGTGTGTTAAATTCATTGGGAAAAAAAGTCTGGTGTATGATGTTCACATTAAAAACTACGCTGGACTAGAACTCCTTTTCACCGCAGCTGTTTTTACTTTCCAAGTTGGAAAAGCCCAGATGAGACATATTTTGTTAAAAGCCAGCATGAACAACACGGAAGCTGAACTGTATTTTCAAAAATGTAATTAAATTTGTCCTCTGAGACAAGCAAAGACCTTATTCAAAGCTACGAAACCTGAGGCCTCTGATATGATGCAAGATTTCACCATATTCAGGTAAATTCATTGTTAACCACGAGCTTTCTATACAACGAATGTGGCTCTCTGGGGTACACCAGTAACTTATGGTGCAATCAAACAACACCCTATAAGCAAGCACTTTGCAACAGTAAGAGAAAAATTCCCTTTTAACTGCAAAAACACAGGCTCAGGGAAGACCAGCCATCTGCCACGACTGGTTGGGAGTGAGAGGCAGGAAAAAAGACAACACGGAAGAGAGCTGTCGATTAAAAAGAATGAATAATGATTAAAGTCTAAAAACACATGGAGAGTGAAAAGAGGAATGAAAAAGAAAAGCTCAGTGCATCATGGGAAGACCCCAGCAGCCCAGGCCTATTGCAGCGTGCCTAAGGGATGGCTCATGTGACCTGATCCTGCCCTAACGATATGCTCTAGCAGAAAGTTGAGGCCTAATCTTAGAAGCAGAGAGGGTGTCAAGCACCTTGAGGCGGCTGTTGTTGTGATTTGGTGCTGTATAAATAAAATAAAATAAAATTGAATGGTCTTTCTCCAGAACCCAATTCCTTTAATATCGTTTGTGGGCCTCTGCCATTAAGGATTTTTTTAAATTTAAAATAATTACCCAGTCCAGCCCACATCATAGCTCTCAGCCAGTGAGACTTCAGAGCCTTGTTTCCCCCCTTCTTTCAAACAATAACCGAGGTACAAAGATTTGCCCCACAGTAATTTGCCTTCACAGAAGTCAATAGAAGAGTTTTGCTGTCTGAGTTAAATATTTTGTTCAGTAGCATTAAATGTTGTTCTGAGGTCTAGGAGGACACACACAAAAATAAGCCCACTGTCAGAGGCCACAAGTCATTAGTAACCTTCACTTTACCTCACTTGGGATGACTGTTACTCAGGAAATAGACCGGGTCATCTACCAGTCGGACGTTTAGCGGTTTAATCTCTGGCTGCTCCAGTCTGCATGCCAAATATTCTGGGAATAACACCAAGTTGGTCTCTGATGCGCCATGGAAGCATGAATGTTAGATATGACGCAAGAAAAAAGAGCTAGTTTGAATAGGCGAAAGAGGTATGTTGTCCCTGTTGCTCCTGAAGACTTTCTATGACTCTGTGGTGGCCTCAGCCATCTTTTACGGTGTGGTCTGCTGGGGCGGCAGCGTCTTTGCAGGGGGCAGGAAGAGACCGAAGAGGCTGGAGGGCCAGCTTTGTTCTAGGACGCTCTCTGGACCCTGTGGAGGTGGTGAGTGACAGGAGAAGCTGTCATTGCTGTTGGTCAGCATCTCCCAGCCCGTGCAGGAGACTCTGACATCACTGACATCACTTCAGTGGCAGCTGCGGCACCCACGATGTGGGACGGAGAGACTCCGCAGGTCTTTCCTTCCTACTGCTGTCAGACTCCACAACATGGTCTCTGCAGAGGATCACACACGTGCAGACAGACACACACAACCATCCCATACACAACTGTAACTCTCGCCCTGTCTCCTTGTTTTGCAATGGCACTAAGAGCAATTTTCCCAGTGTAACAAAGTATTTTATTCTATTTGTACTTTTTCTATTGTATATGGTGTTCTTTCCATTTTGTGTAGTATGTTATTCTGTTTATCTTATTCTATTGTTTTTTCTCTCCTGTACTTCCTGCCATGACCAAAAACTTCCCACGTGTGGGACTATAAAGGTTTCTCTTTCTTTCCTTCTTTAAAGAGGCTTTGAGTGCTCAGGTACAGTAGAAAAGCACGATGTATAAAAACCAGTACATTTACTACTTTATTGTCTCTGCTTGCCTTACTGTAAAAGTCCCCGCAGACAAAGACAAAATAAAAACAGTGTTAGTGTCCAATGTTAACATTTATTTGTATGCTGTGTGTATTTATTGTATGTTAACTGTATGTTAGTACGACTCGACACACTGATGTTAGGTTGCCGACCGTGTTACCGGGGTAACGCGCAGGCGAAGAATCTCTTTTGAATAGTAGTTATTGTTTTTAGGTTTAATAATACATCTTTGAATTCTCCTGCTGGTCTTTACCCAGCACTACCACATCGGTCATATCGTTGCCTCATTCTGTCCCTTTCAGTTTAAAAACATCTTAGACCTCGAACCCATAATCTACTATTTCCCCGACATGATTTTTACTTTGCAAGAGTCAAGGAAGACAAAGAAAATCAAAATTAAAGTTTATTGTTTCACCTCCAAGGCTTCAATCAGCTAATTGGTTGGACTGTAGCTACTGGACTTTGGCACATCATTTCTCCAACCCTGGAGGATTTTTAGGATGTAAATATAGTCAAATACAATAAAACATATTTACATCATTCAAAACAATGGCATTACATTGTAAAATATGACTAGATTTATTTGGAAAAAATGAAGACCTTTCTAGATCAGTTCTCTCCTTCCTGGCTCGTCTATAACTGGAGAGAAACTCTTAATCTAAACTAACCACAAGATGTCAGCGTTTCATTATTTCTAAGAACAGAACTGAAGCTTTTCTACCTTCAGATGAACAAACTAGTCCCAGCTGTGTCTACCTACTGGTTCTACAGCACTGTACAATATTAAACACATGTTCAAATCATCTGATACATACACATCCGTATTTTGCGTATTTTCACCGTTCAAGGAGGAAACACACAAGATGCCTTTTCTGAGATGATACAAACAATAAATTACACAGCTAGAAAAAAGCACTTCTTTGAAATGAGCTCAACAGGTTTCAGTACGTATCATCGCAACAGTGAGCCTGCTCACCACGTCAGAGATCTGCACAATCAGTACAGCGCCAGGAAGCTGCTTCTGTTTCCTGATGTAGAGTCAGGTTAGGTTCAACGGGGTCCAATGCAGAACTGAAGCCAATCCAAATAAGGCATCGAGACGTTATTACAAAAAATAAACCTGTAACTCTCCTAGCAAACACTTTACAAAGGCCTAGACTGAACACACAAAAAGTTAAAAAACTACAAACGTGTTTCGTCTGTTGTAAAGGATGATGCTTCAGACTTGGAGTCCTTGGAAATCACTTTTCCGCCAATCCAGACCTAGAATATGATGTCTTGATTAAAGCAGGCGACGGCAGTTTTAGTCAGTCAGTATGATTGGGGTGGCTGTTGCTCAGGAGGTAGAGCAGGTCACCTACTGATCGGAAGGTTGGTGGTTCGATCCCTGGCTCCTCCAGTCTGCATGTCATGTATCCTTGGGCAAGATACTAACCCCAACTTGCTCTCCGATGCATCCATCGGAATATGAATGTACTTAGAAAGCACTGAGTATAGATAAAGTGCTTGTGAGAATGGGTGTGATTGGGTGAATGAGGCATGTTGCATAGAGCGCTTTGAGAATAGAAAAGCGCTCTATAAGAATCAGTCCATTCTGGGCAAAAATGCTTTGTGCTCAAAGTTGAACGATGAAGTGACGTGTTTTCCACAGATCAGCGATTTTAGCAGGTACTCAGGTGTTTTTTAATGTTCGGTTAAAGTGGAAAGATTGGTGCCCACAAAACCCCCCAAACTACTGAAGCTTCTGCTCGACTGGAGAAAAGAACTGAACTGAAAATCAATTAAATCTGACAAAAGTTCTCAGCTGATCCTCTCAGAATATGCTGATATATTTCTTATCAGTTACAGGCCCAAGCCATTTAAGGCTTATAAATGGCTTGGGCCATTTGCTTATTCAGCAAAGCATGTGAGGGTTGTATTAAGACAGACATCTTCTAATTAAGACATTTAAAAGCCAGAATGACAGCTAGCTAGCATGTCCTTCTCCCACAACTGGATCTAACAGAACAGCACATACATCGTCCTGTTCACTGCTTCAGGACCAAACAAACCCATCTGCCTTTCACTATGTCGACATATTGTCTTTGTAACCTACATCTGGAACTTTCAGCCACATAAAGGGCAAAAATCTACCAGTTAAAATGTTACCTAACATGAAAAAGGGCTGAAAAGTCCGAAGGAGGAAACAGCTTCTTGTAGCCAAAAGTCTTTAGAAAGTCAGTTTGAAAATTGGCAAATACAAAACTTTTATAAATACTGGTCCCGAAACTGAAAGCACATTTTGAAGCAACTGTTGCTTAACACTGTAAATCTGACTAATAAATCACACCAGAACATTAATCACAGACTTAACCTTTTTACATGTAAAAGCGTCATAAATAAATTAGCGATCTACACTTTTCTGCTCTTCTCATGAAACATCGGCAGCCGATGTGTCCTCTGATTCTGCACTCGAGTCCAGGTTCACGTCCCTGCTCAGAGCTGAGGCCTGCTCCGGCAGCTGCAGCCTCTCTGCTGCAGGCAGACTCTCAGACTGGGCCATGCCCAAAGCCGGCGAGGCTACCTGAGACACGGGCGCCGAAAGAGTCCGCGGGACTCTGCAGCAGAACTGACCGGTGACGGCCGAACGCGCGTCTGCAGTGAGGTCGTTAGTAGAGGCTGAGTGCGGGGCGCTGGTTATTTCTGAAGGTGAGGGAGGTCCTACCGGGACATCTGTGTCAGCTTCTATTCCAACCCTCTCCGGGTCTGACCGTGGTGACGGCTGATCTGCTGCAACCACAGTTTGACTCCATGGGGGTTGGTAAGGTGGAGGCCCTGCTAGTGGGGAGCTGTCAGGGGTGAGTGGGGCTTGGCTGTGGATGATGACGGGATCTGGGGAAGGCAACGGAGTCTCCTCTTTGTCCACACCTTCAAGATTCACAAGGTCCTTGGAGGGACTCTGGTCTGGGGATATGGAGTCTGGCTGGTGGGAGATGATGCGGAGGCACAGGCTGGCTTTGGGGAACCCGCTAGCTGACGTTGGCTTCCCTTCAGAGGGCCGCACTGGACTCAGCAGCACGGGTAGCTCTTGGCCCAGCGGCTTACGGGGCAGCTCCTCAGGCTTCCCTAAAAATGAGCCATTAAGAACTGTTTATTTTCCTTAAGTGCACATTATTGACACCGAATAATGTACTGGAGTACTGGAGACTCCTAAAAGGACAGCTGCGTACCTGGAGGCGGGAGATCCAGCTTCATCTTTCGCAGCTCAGCCATGGAGGCCTGAAGCTGCTCAACGATCATGTCGTCGCTGTAGAAAAAAGTCTGAGCGATGCGCTCCTGCAGGAACTCTCTCAGCTCCTCCAGAGACATCTTCAAGAGGCGCTCTGTGCACAAACCAGATGTTAAACTCACAGAAACGTGCAGTCACGTCTCATCTGTCTTGTACTGGAGCTGTATTCAGACGTCATTTAACCCCTGTTTTAAAAAACTGACAATAAAAAATGTTTGTGTAAACTGAGTTGTGTAATCCCACATATGATTTTGTAATGAGCACATTAATTATAAACATCTTTATATTTATATAACATCTTCTATTTTCTGCAATAATAACTTGTTTGCTACAAATGAGATTTAAACGACTGTAAACATCTGTACACTTGTAGATATCCACACGAACACAGAAACCCTGAATCACACAAGTATACAGACATTTATGCAAAAATCATAAAGATGTCTCGAGACCAGACACCAGTATGTAGTACTTAAATTGCAAAGTGTGGCCTTGCCAAGTTTCACTTTTGCAGACTTTAGGAAAGCAAACAAAAACTGGAAAACTTCAAAATCACTCGATTTCAGGAGGTTAATAAGAGGCTAAAGTTAACACAATGTGGTTGTTGTGTAGAAGGCTCAGTGAGGAAACTGAGCAGAGAGTGATTTATTGTTTCGTGGCGACCCATCCATCATCTCCTTACTCTTGTGTATCTTGAGGATAGTGTAAGACATGGCGGTGAGGAGCCGCTCTCCCTCCAGGATGAAAATGTCCCACAGGCGGAGCGTTAGGGTGAACGGTGTCTGCCGGATCACAAACACAAAAAGTTAGAGAATCACTGCAGCTTAGCTGGATTTGTTTGTGCCAGTGGGTTCATGTATGTGCTGTTCTCCTGCTGGCTGGAGTCAGGAAGTTTGTTTGGTTCCTTCTCAGACCTCAGAGGCCCCGAGGCCCCTCTGAGCCCGGCAACTCAGCGGGATGGAGAAGTGCTGACAACAGCCAAACGCTGCCAGACCACTACCACAGGATTGTGGGCATGCAAGTAGAAGGCTAATAACAGTTTAGGCTGACAGGTCTTAATGCTCTCTTCTAATGCGATGTACCCGAGCTCTGCTGAAATCATGTACAGTATAACTGTGTGTGAAAGGCGATTCAGTGTTTTTATGTTACAGAGATTAGCATCTGCTAATGCTAACTGCTATATTTACACAGGCTTAACTTTCCAGTTTTATTAAACACGCAGTTGGCTAAATTCCTAAATTCACATTGTAACGAGCAGCATATGAGCAGCATTCCTTCTCTCACCCCAACCGGTCGCAGCAGATGGCCCCGCCCCTCCCTGAGCCTGGTTCTGCCGGAGGTTTCTTCCTGTTAAAAGGGAGTTTTTCCTTCCCACTGTCGCCAAAGTGCTTTCTCATAGGGGGTCATATGATTGTTGGGGTTTTCTCTGTATCTATGAAGCGCCTTGAGGCGACTTTTGTCGTGATTTGGCGCTATATAAATAAAATTGAACTGAATTGAATGTAATGTGTAATCTGGCTATTTAATGAATAATAATTATCATTCAGAGCACTGAGATACCAGGTTCCTCCAGAACCAGCTCTCAGTTTAGGAGACATGAAGCATCTTTTCTTTGAAGGTCAGGATTAAAACGTTCCTCTCTGATAAAGTAGTGACGGCTGGATCAGGTAACTCGTTATGCTGCCACACGCTCAGGCTGCTGAACACTTTTTCTTCTCTGTATTCTTTCATTTCCTTCCCCTCAAACCCCAACCAATCACAGCAGGCGCTGCCAGAGTCTGTTGGTGATAGCTTCCTGTTGGGAGGGAGTTCTTGTTCTCCACTGTTGCAAGTGCAAGATCGTTATTCGCTTTAGTTTAGTATGTTTCAGGCTCTGATGCAGGGTTCCACCTTATAATATTAAGCACTGTGTGTTGACTGTTGTTGTGAACTGGCACTATAGCAAAATGGAATTGAACTGCTTTAAAACTTCCCAAGCAAAATAGAGAAGATACATGGAAATGATATGACATAAAACAAGAAGAGGGGAAAGCAACCTCTTCACACAGTGAGAAAATAATCAGATGACCTTTTATTCAACGTTTAACAGGCAGAAAAAGATGATCTTACTCGTTTACCCCAAGATAATGACTCACCCTGTCAATGAAACACTGCAGGAACCATTTGGTGCTGTAAATGCCTGCAGACATCTGCTCTTTGTCCTTGAAATAGAGAACACGAGTCAGAACTAGCACGTATCCTGCTTGCTAGAGCGTTACTCCAAGTTTTTCAAAAACAGAAAAAACTGATCTCACCAGATGTTTCTTCAGTTTGGGAACGAGCTTGGAAATAATCTGATCATGATGTGCCTGGAATCTCTGAAGTTTTGGAAAGCCTGGAACAAAAAAGCCTTAACAGGGCAGAAGGGAAGTGAGAACTTTTTAATCTAATTTCATGTCAGTCCAAACCAAATCTGACAAGCAGTACAGTTTGTAATCAGTTCCACCACCCGCAGAGCCAAAGACTGTCATCTGCACGGTTGGTGCAGCTGCAGGAAAATGATTTCAGTGTTTAGCTTCATCGTATCTTGCAGAGAACACGTTTGCTGTTAATGTTCAGACGAATGAATGAATCCTCTGGGATGTCTCACCATGCATGGCGTGTTTCTGGTTGGTGAGCAGCTGTGACAGGGCCCAGAAAGCGTCTTCCTCATTCATGTACATGAGCAGCAGGGCGGCAATCTGACTCATGCCCTGGCAGTAGCTCACCTCCTGCAGGAAACGTGCAAAAAGACCCTAATAATGGGCTTTCTGCTGTTGTGGTAACTGTAACTGACACTAGGTTAACACAAGTTAACACAAGACTATCAAACAATTATTAACTTTTTGTCATCATCCTGTGGGACCATTCTCCACCACGGATATTAGTTTTATTATTATCAGCAGTAGTGTTATTGTTGTATTTGTATATTCTATAGTGCCTTAATAGTCAGAAGGAATAAAGCAGATGGGCCATGATGAAAACGAATTAAAAAACCCAGAATATATTAAACATGGTCAAATTTTCAATTACTTAGTCATTCCTATTTTGAAATGTTAATCATGCAAAGCAAAAAACAAAAGCACGGAGCTTTGGTCACTGAGGGGAGCGGAGTCTATCTTAGCAAGTGCAAGGTGAGAGGCAGGGTGCACCCTGGGCAAAGGCCATCGCAGGATCAACAATGAAAGACAGACAGCCATGCAAACTTGTATGCACTCCTAAAACTTTAAGATGCATGTCTCTGGCTGTGGACGAGGACCCACACAGGCACTAGGAGAACATGAGAGAAGGACCCCAGCTGCAGCAAGCACACTACAGACACAATGCTACATGATTTTATTCATATGTACAGAAGAAGCAATGGTGATATTGTCTTAATAGTATATTGCAAATATGTTTGTTTGGTGTGGGCAACTGTATTTGACATAGTACATTGCAACACTATTCTACAGGGAGTGCAGAATTATTAGGCAAGTTGTATTTTTGAGGAATAATTTTATTATTGAACAACAACCATGTTCTCAATGAACCCAAAAAACTCATTAATATCAAAGCTGAATGTTTTGGAAGTAGTTTTTAGTTTGTTTTTAGTTTTAGCTATTTTAGGGGGATATCTGTGTGTGCAGGTGACTATTACTGTGCATAATTATTAGGCAACTTAACAAAAAACAAATATATACCCATTTCAATTATTTATTTTTACCAGTGAAACCAATATAACATCTCCACATTCACAAATATACATTTCTGACATTCAAAAACAAAACAAAAACAAATCAGCGACCAATATAGCCACCTTTCTTTGCAAGGACACTCAAAAGCCTGCCATCCATGGATTCTGTCAGTGTTTTGATCTGTTCACCATCAACATTGCGTGCAGCAGCAACCACAGCCTCCCAGACACTGTTCAGAGAGGTGTACTGTTTTCCCTCCTTGTAAATCTCACATTTGATGATGGACCACAGGTTCTCAATGGGGTTCAGATCAGGTGAACAAGGAGGCCATGTCATTAGTTTTTCTTCTTTTATACCCTTTCTTGCCAGCCACGCTGTGGAGTACTTGGACGCGTGTGATGGAGCATTGTCCTGCATGAAAATCATGTTTTTCTTGAAGGATGCAGACTTCTTCCTGTACCACTGCTTGAAGAAGGTGTCTTCCAGAAACTGGCAGTAGGACTGGGAGTTGAGCTTGACTCCATCCTCAACCCGAAAAGGCCCCACAAGCTCATCTTTGATGATACCAGCCCAAACCAGTACTCCACCTCCACCTTGCTGGCGTCTGAGTCGGACTGGAGCTCTCTGCCCTTTACCAATCCAGCCACGGGCCCATCCATCTGGCCCATCAAGACTCACTCTCATTTCATCAGTCCATAAAACCTTAGAAAAACAGTCTTGAGATATTTCTTGGCCCAGTCTTGACGTTTCAGCTTGTGTGTCTTGTTCAGTGGTGGTCGTCTTTCAGCCTTTCTTACCTTGGCCATGTCTCTGAGTATTGCACACCTTGTGCTTTTGGGCACTCCAGTGATGTTGCAGCTCTGAAATATGGCCAAACTGGTGGCAAGTGGCATCTTGGCAGCTGCACGCTTGACTTTTCTCAGTTCATGGGCAGTTATTTTGCGCCTTGGTTTTTCCACACGCTTCTTGCGACCCTGTTGACTATTTTGAATGAAACGCTTGATTGTTCGATGATCACGCTTCAGAAGCTTTGCAATTTTGAGACTGCTGCATCCCTCTGCAAGATATCTCACTATTTTTGACTTTTCTGAGCCTGTCAAGTCCTTCTTTTGACCCATTTTGCCAAAGGAAAGGACGTTGCCTAATAATTATGCACACCTGATATAGGGTGTTGATGTCATTAGACCACACCCCTTCTCATTACAGAGATGCACATCACCTAATATGCTTAATTGGTAGTAGGCTTTCGAGCCTATACAGCTTGGAGTAAGACAACATGCATGAAGAGGATGATGTGGACAAAATACTCATTTGCCTAATAATTCTGCACTCCCTGTATGAGTGCTGCAGTTTCAGCAATTTTTGCAATCCACATGTTTCAGTGGCACGTCTAGTAAAAACCCTGTTTCTGCAAATAATAAAAGCAGCTCAGTAAGACAACCATCAGTGCTGTATCAGCTGCTGTCCACTTAAAGCACTCAATGCATATCATGTCAAAAGCATGCAGTACTGTGTGTGGGGGGGGGACAAGAAACCACAGTGGAAAATGAAGTCTCTGCCCACGAAAAGAAAATTTAGACGTGACTGCAGATTTTTATCAGTTCCCTTGAGTTGCTGGTGTTTTAATGTTTCATGTAATTTAGAGAAATCAGCTACTTACTGTGTTGTAGACTGAATATGCAGAGAGGACATGAAAGAGAGCCTGCTGCCTGTAAATCAAAGAAACAGGAAGGAAAGGATAGGAAAGGAGAAGAAGCAACAAAAGGAAACAAGGAAGGGAGTGAGAAGGAGAGGAAATGAAAAAACGAGTGTCATGAATCCTGACACTGTATGTGAAGCTGTAAGCAAACCCCACAGCAAACAGTGTGCTGGACACACAATTACAAACCAGAAGTGAGAGGAAAGGAAAAAATAACAGTAACACAGAGAGACTACAGTCTCTGCTCTTTAAAAATCCTTTTTGTATCCTGAACATCTGTCAGATACTGAAATGTTCTCCAGCTCCACACTTTCCACTGCTGCTTCTGAACAGAACCATTACACTGACATCACTCTGTTACAGGATCAGGTTACACATAAACCCACGCCATCCAGAGCTCAGCCTGCCCACCTCTCTCTCACACTCAGTCCAAGTTCACCCTGAGGTCTCTCTGCTGCAGACACTGATTTTTTTCCTCTCGCACTTTTTTAATCTGTTTGAATATGGTAACAGTTACAACCTGGAAAATGATATGTAACACACACTACATGACCCAAAGTATGTGGACATCCAAGCCATGTGCATCAATGTCCTTCTACAACAACCTTAATTAGTCTTGTCTCAGGTTTTCCCTCTGATGGGAACCTGGATGCAGGGATTTCAGTGCTCAGCGCTACTCATTTCCGCCTACTCTGAATCCAGCCTACACTGCCATGAAACCACAACTGCTGGCTCCTTTCAGAAGTAAGAAAACTCA